ACGGGAGATATGAAAAAGCAATATTAAGCAATCATAATTATTGCTTTGCTTAATTCACCAACAAGAGGAAAGCAGAAGAATCAAATAGAAGGAATTAAATGTAATTTAATTAACTTCCATAGAAGTAGAAACTGTCAAATCGAATCATGGATTGGGCTCCACAATACTCAACAATTCTCTCACTTGGAGACTGAGACACAAACTGCTCCATCAACTAGCTGTGTCGCCCTTTTCTCCAAAAGAGATATCATCCACCCCTGCAACTAAAAACTCTTGTCTTCAAGCTAGAAAACTAACTGAAGTCGATCACAACTTTATCTTCTCAAGAGTAACAGCCTCAGTCGACATATAAGCGTCAACATAACCTTTTACCTTCAGACTCTTTCTTGTTTTACTAATATTTCTGCTTACAACTTCCACTGTATGGGCAATATCATGCTCTGCTGAAAGCCGTTTTCAATAGGTCTAGCATTGTACATTTTACGACTATCAAACGCGGTCTTCACCGGGAACACCCACTTGTTGTGCAATTTCTTCTTCCCCAGTGGAAGTTATGTCAACTCCCAATTCTGATTTCCCAGTAGAGAATCAATCTCCTCCTTCATAGTCCGCTCTCTCTTGCTCAATTTTTCATCGTCAGCAGAATGTAATTCAAGGTTGGTGAGAAACATTGTGGAGAACGTTGATTCCTGACTGACTTGTGAATTATAGCTGCACGAGTGGACTGCTCGGAAGCTGACAGCGAAATAATATGAATGGGTGCCCTGGACCCACTCTCCTCATCACTTTCATCACAGATCTGCACTGTGACATCTGGTAGATCATCAAACCTTACATTTCTACTGTGGTCCTCAATGAATCTGACATAGTAACGAGAGTCTCCAAGATATGCCACTGAAGAAGGTCCTAACACATTTATGTGTACAAGATCTAGTTTTCCAGCCTTTAACGCTCTGCCACCTTTCAAAACTGACATTCTGCTTCCTCATAATGCAACTCTCACACATGTCGAGATCAACTGACTTCAGTTCTTTCATGCCCTTCCGACTCACCTGATCAAACCTGAGTAAACCTGAAGTCACATATAGAGTATTAGTTCTCTTACCCCGAGCCAATATCAGTGCCCTTTTTGTAAAATTCCAGGAGCTTTTTGAGAACACTATTGTATGAGCACCCTCATTGAGTTGTTTAATAGAAATGAAATTTTTCTTCAACTCAAGAGTGTATCTAACTTTTGCAAAGTACATTTGCTCTTGTTAGAGAGTGCAATATTAATGTTTCTCATCCCCACCATGTTCAGAGCTTCTCCATCAGAAAGATACACCTTCTCAAAGCCACCTACAATATAGTTTCACATTAACTCCAGGTTGGAAGATGTATGAAAGGAAACCCCTGAATCCAGTATCTAGTCATCAACAGAATTGCGAACTATAAGCAATAATGCATCATGTACTTCTTCAGTTACAACATTAGCACAATTATTCTTCATCTTTTTTTAATTTTTGAAGTTCTTTTTTATGTGGTCAGCCTTGCCCAATTCCAGCAGGTTGTTTGCTGATCAGACTTTGACTTACTCTTGTCTCCGTGCTTTGATTTCAATCTTCCTCTGTTTGAGTCACTAACTTGTGATCTCCTTCTAGAATCAACATTCAGCGCCGAACTCGAACCTGAGATCTCGTCAGAATCTTTCCTGCGCGCCTCATCAGCCAAAATCAAATCACAAATATAATCATATTTCAGCTTAGATTTGCCTGTTAAATTGCTAATTTTTAACCTCATGGCTTCCCAACTATTTGACAAATAAACCAATAATATCAACGCATATATCTCAGAATAAAAATTAATTTCAACAGACAACAATTGATTTGTGATAGTATTGAAATCATTCAGGTGTTGAGTAACAAACACACTTTCCGCCATCTTCAATTTGAATAATTTTTTCATCAAATGCATCTAGTTATTCGTCGATAACTTTTCATATATACCTAATAAAACTATCATAAAATCTGCAGTAATCATTTCCTTGATTATGTTGTGGGCAATAGATCTCGAGAGGGTTAATCGAATAACCCCCAGAATCTGTCAAGCCAACAGACTCCATTCAGTCGCGTCTATCTTTTCCGGTCACTTCTCCAGTAATGGCATGTGAAGTTTCTTCTCATAGAGGCAGTTCTCTATTTGCGTTTTCCAGTAACCAAAATCTGTTATTAAACGTCTCGATCCCTGATACCAACGCTTCTTCTCCGACTATCGTTCAATCTTAGACCCGAAACGACAGCTCTGATACCAATTGTTGTGAAAAACAACAACAATAAAATGTAAAACTAAAATGAGAAATTAACAAATCTAAAACAAAACAAAAACACACTGATTTATGTAATTCAACGAATTGCATACGTCCAGAGAGCTATATGTGATTTTATTAGCTAGAGGAATTACATCGTCGAATGTCTCGAAAATTACAAGAATAACTCTTATCTCTCTTCCTCTCTCTCTCCTCACCTTATTCTCTCTCCCTATCTACCCGTAAGCCACCTCACAGAAAAAGAAACACAGGAAATACAAGCTTTGTGATTCCAAGCTCTACCTCGTAAGCCAAGGTCAATTGCAGAAGAGAAAACCAAGGGAGAGGCTTCATATGCAAATCCTACTTCTGCTTTTATTGGCTCAATTTTGCCCATAATAAGGCAACGCCTAATAATCATGGAGGAAGCAGCTGTGAATAACGAAGAGAGCAGAAAATAATTAAAGAAGCAGCCTTTAATTAGCAACCTTCCCAAAATAAGCAATGGCGGGAGATATGAAAAAGCAATATTAAGCAATCATAATTATTAATTCACCAACAGGAGGATGCAGGAGAATCAAATAAAAGAAGGAATGAATTAAATGTCATTTAATTAATTTTTATAGATGTCAAAACTGTCAAATCAAATCGTGGACGAGGCTCCTTAATACTCAACACAACTAAAAAGCACTCATGTGAACCAAAGAGAATACTATGACAGATGAATGAATATTAGTGATGAGATCATTAAGATTTTGGGATGTTTGATTAACAAAGATGTATATCATATTATTTTCATGTTTATTATAGTGGAAAGAAATATATCAAAGTTCTTACAAGAAGCTCCTATATGATCAAGAAGTTAATAAAATTTAGATACTTGGAAAAAGAATATCTCAAAAGAATATAAAGTGTATTTTATATCTCTGAAGCAGATTAAATAAATGAAAGCTATTGGTAAATGAGTCTACTTTGTACATTCAAACAAAGCATAATTATACAATAGGAAAATCAATCAAGCATATATTAACATTTTTTCCCTGAAATGAATCAAACCCCTAATACATTACAACAATGCATCTAACTCCAACACATAAAAATTGTAAGAGCAACATCAAAACATAAGATATTCCCTTTTCCAATAGATTCATTAACAAACATAGAAATATTTCCCTTGAAAATGAACAAATAAAAAAACCAAATAAAAATATATAGAGAGATTTGAGAAAAAATAACTCAAAGCACACCAATTCGCTGCCCTTCGTAACCCTTGCACACTCACTGACACATTGAGCACCGTGAAGTTACCTGGCCCCTGCCCAAAACCGGGGTCTATTGGGCGTAAGAAACAGGGCTTTTTGCCTTTTTTCACAAAAGAGCGAGAGAGAGGGACCAATGAACTAGATCTGTGCAAAATAATTCAACTTGACGAAGATGCTTTGTCGTACCTTTCTCTTCCTGACGGAGAATGAAGATTCAGAATTACAATTAATTTACATCATTCAATTAAAATACTCAACAAATAGACGTCAAAATTGTTTTTTTTTTCTAAATCCAAACAGAGCTGGCTGGTATTTGGGGCAGCGATTCACAGAATTGTCCCATACTTAGTTTAATACTTCTGTTCTAATCTTATGAGTTGAAAGAAGATGCTTCTCGAGAAAAAGTTTTGTTGACGAGAAACAGCAGAAAGCGTTGTGTGGACAAACAAGGAAATATGGACTTGAATTTACTGACTTTATGCTTGCAGGTCTTTATTTGGTTTCCATTCAGTTGCAGTTAAAGGCACAGCGTTAATTGTAGAAGCACTAACTTCTATATCGATTAGAGGATCGTTTTCCTTTACCTGAAAAAAAAAATATGACTTTTTTTCAGCATGAGTGTTTCTTACATTGCAATTAGTTGCATCTTTAGAGAATAATTGAAAATTGGTAATGTTCACATGGCTAATTAAAAATATGTATGCATGATTTTAACACCCACAGTCAGTAATTCTGGCCACCTGCACCAATGCGAAGGCTTATTTCAACTAGTCCATAGATGATGACACGATGATCAATTTTTAGTTGATAAACATAAAGTGAGTCTCAATCTTTTTGGGATCGCTGTAGCTTTTTACGGCTACAAGTTGCTAAAAGGTGGGCATAAAGTTGTAGTAAAAATAATTTTAAAAAAGTTCCTGTGAAAATTATGAATATATATATTTGTGAAAGAATTTTACATAAGCAGCATATAATTCTTATGTATTTATATATTTCACACCTAAACTTTTATATTTACATACACGGCCTTTGGTGCTTTAAACCTATGCATTAAAATGGATTTCAAATGATAATACCGTAACTTTTGATGTGATATTAAAGATTTGATGTATAAATATGAAAGTTTAGGTGTGAGATATATAAATAAATGAGAAGTGGGTGCTATGTATATCAATTTTCCTATTTTTTGTTTTCAAAAACTAGAAAATAACATTCTTATATCCACCACACATTACAGATTTAGTTGCAAAAAAGTAACTTCAAATCACAAAATTTTCTAAAAACCAGCAAAAAAAAGTAGTTTCCCAAATAAAACGTCAGTTTGATACGTAAAACAATAAGAAAGCTGCCCTAAACATAAGTTAAATAAGGCACAATCTTAGTAAACCTAGTAGAGGAAATGCAAGCTTGATAATCAACAAGAGGTAGAAGCAACGCTAAGAAAAAAATTGTACCTGTGACATCAGAACAGGCGGCTCAACCAACTTTTGTTGGTTATGAATATGACAGTTGTAGGAATATAAGATCATTCCGATTAATGCAATCAAAATTCCCAAAATGTTTCTCCAGCTGAATGGATCGTGGAGTAGAACATAGCCAAAGGCTAAGACAAGACAAGTTTTTAGATGACCCAACACCTGATAGGTGACAGGTGAAGTCTTTCCAATCACAAGGAATGTACTGAAGTTGACTGAAACTGATATAAGACAGGATAAAACGACAAAAATCTGCAAGAAAAATTCCCACATTAATTATGTAAGAAGTTTGGGCAAATAAAATGCTTGGGTATATTTGCCGCTTACCACAACTTGAGGGGTGTATTTGAAAGCAAAAACATTTTGATGTGTGAGTAACCAATCGACAAAAGGCCCTGCACTAACCAGGGTTAATGCCTGGTAGAGGCAAGACTGATATAAAAGTTGCGTTGATGTAACCTTAAACCTCTTCTGGATGTTATTGGTCATCTGGAAAATACTTGATTAAGGACTCACAATATAGATGATCTCCCATTATGTCTCTATTCTCTCTCACACAACACACAATTGTTAAAACATAAAAAAGAAGACTGGAATCAACATAATAACAATGTCAACCATATATTCATAATGGTGAGTTTATCAACAAGCTCTGTCAAAATAATAATTAACAGGGGGCCATAGCAATTACCTTTGGTTTTACACAATCAGTTTTACTAGTAGGGTAAGCAAGATATCTAGTATTGTTGTGTAAAAAAAATTAGTATTATTTAAATATCCAGCACCTGCGTATAAGTAGAATAACACGAGACAAGAATTTTTTATGTGAAACATCCGAAAGTGGAAAAAATATGGGGCAGCCTAATTGAAACAATTCGATTAGTGTTCAGTCAGGGAATTAGAAGACACACTTACATGTAGCAAAGAATGATGATAGTACAATCTAATAGTTTGAACCGTGAGAGATGTCTCCCATTAATATATTAAGAATTTTATGGTATTAGAGTGATCATCAGGTGATGAAAGTTAACGAGAAGTTTCAAAAGTTGGGAGATAGCGAGGGATAGATCTGATCTTACTTCCAATATGAGGAAAAATAAGAAGGCTAGAAGAACGAGCGTCAAACAATTGTAGCTGGCAGACGTTAGACATTGGTTGTTTTTGGCAAATGTAAGAAGGATTGGAATTATGCGTAGTGGAAGTGATGAAAGGAATACATAGAAGTGGGTTCATAAAGAATGTGGGGAATTTGGACGTAGATGGACTTTGTGGGGAGCAGTTGTTGGAAGGCACCTGAGGCAATGGAGGACAAAGGATAGAGTAGATGTCTTTATGATAAGGTCCTCCGAGAAGAGTTTAGCGGGTCTTCAAATCCTTGACGGTGCATCTGGCTGCATGAAAAGAAAAAGAAACAAGAATTGTCATGTTGGCATCAATTTTTTTGATGTCATAGGTGTAGGGCGTCCACTTATGATCGACGAAAATTAGTTATCGCATCGCACATGAAATTGACTAAAATTGGCCCGTTCGTCGGAAAAATTATCCAGATGACCTCGGATGACGAAATGGACCACGTGAGTGAGTCAGGAATGTCGATTCCATTTGGAAACGACGCTCGTTGCACCACGTTTTCACGTGCGAGCTTAAAATATACAAATTATCATTTTGGGCACGATGGTCGAAAAAGACTCCGAATGACGAAACGGACTACGCGGTCACGTCCAGAA